CGCGGGAGCCGCGCCCCTGCGTGGGGCTGGGCCGGCGGGGCCTGTCGGGGAAGGCCCGTCCCCTCGCCCCCACCTTACAGAATTCCTCACAAAAAACTGCGTGGGCAGCAACTGAGCTCTCGAATTTCACCGAAACCCCTGAATTTCTGAGGGTTACCGGAGCCAGCTGGTGCTCCTGAGCCCAGCCCTTTCCCTTCCGAGCTGGGCGCCCCAGCACTGCTCTTTTTGTGGCAATTTCACCATTTTTCGGTCGGGGCCTGCAGGCCCTGAAGCTGCCGCAGCAGCAGCCCAGCTTTTGTCAGAGATGCAAATAAACCCTGGCAATTAGATACCGTTTTTCTGCTTTAATAAAGGACGCTCTGCGTTCAGCTGGGGAGGTGTTTTTTATGCACTGGATCGGTTTTATCTCAGATTAATGTGATTGAAATTAACTTCAACTGACTCTTGTTCTTGAGCTGTGTTCACCCCATAGTAAATTCAGTGGTGATTCTCTGTGCATAGTCCAGCATCACCAGCTACTTGGTTACAGAGAAATGTATTTTTAACTGCATGGCTGTGCTAGCTGTAATACCCAAGGATTGCTTTGGGAACATGTAATATAACATCAACTGTGACTTGAACTTGTATTTTAGTTTAAAATTACATCATATAGCTCACTTGAAACAATATATTCCATGTAAGTACCTTAATTTGTAGCTGTTTCAGAGAATACAGTTAAAGATGTATTAAAGAAAGAGAAATTGACATTTTCTTTAAATGCCTCCCTGCTTGTCAGTTTACTTAGTCTTTTTCCTTATTTAAAAGCAGCTTGAGGTGGTTGAAGGTTGAGCTGTTTATCTCAGTGTGAGGGACTACAAGGGGAAAATATTAGTTCCTTTGGACTTTATTTTCTTGTTAAAATACATGGAGTCAGCATGACTTACAGAATAATTGAGCAACTGAAGCAGAGGTGCTATCTTGTCTTGCAGGAACTAAGAGGAGAACAGCTAAAGTAGAACAGTCTTGCTGTTGGCAGAGTGTGTTAACTGAAAGCATGTTGGCTACCAAGCTGTCCCGGCCTCTCCTGAGCTTCTCTGTGAAAGCCTTGAATTTCAAGGATGGAGGAAGTGGCTTCAGGTGAGTAACCTGGTAGAGAAGAGGAGTGAGATCTTGAATAAAGCACACATTGAGGGCTCATGTGATTCCAGTGGGACAGTTATTTACAGAACCATAGGATGGCTGAGGTTGGAAGGAACCTCTGGAGGTCAGCTAATCTAACCCCCCTGCTCAAGCAGGGCCTTCTAGAGCTGGTTCCCCAGGACTGTGTCCGGATGGCTTTTGAGTATCTCCAAGGATGGAGACTCCACAGCCTGCCTGGGCAACCTGTCATTGAGCTGAGCACAGAGCAGATGGACTCTATATGCAGGGAGGGCTTGGCAGTATGGTATTTTTTTTTACACTCAGACAGTCATCTGCAGTCAAAAGGGGGTTGACTAGAACATTAATTCAGTGTCAAGCAAGGATTTATTCCTGAATATCAGCAAATAGGCCTTGCTGCAGTGCAAGAAACTGTCATATATTTCTGTGACTTGGTTAAAGAGGCAATCAATCATGTGAAATGAGAGAGAAAGTTGAGAGCGAAGGTTTGACTGAGAAATGGAGGTGGGCTGCGTAATGAAGCTTTTTTTTTTTCTAAACATGAACAGAAAATTGCATATCTAATTCTAACTCTTAGCTCTGAAAAAACCCCACTTTTCTGTTGGTATATGATGGGAACTCTACTAGTCCAAATTCAGAGCAAGCTGCTTGCTTTCACTGGCTTTGCTTTAGAGCGGGGTTCCCAAACAATGGTGTGTGCACTCCTAATTGTACATAAGCCGTTTAAAAGTGATTCATGGCCTGCGAAGCAAGAGCTGCCACCTCTGGTGTTGTTCTGCTGCTGTCGATAGTGATGTCCAGCACCATTACTGTCAAGGACGGCTTCTGTAACAGGGAGTTGTAGAGACCAAAGATAGCTAAGCTGTTAGAGATTTCCTATGCAAACAGGTATAGGCCTTTTATCTCCTATTTACTCCACACACACCAAGCTGCACTACCAGGAATCTGCTGTGGCCTTAGAAATACAAATTAATTCTTTATTAACTTGAGAAAAGAATTTTCAGCATATTATCTTTTTTTTTTTTTTCCCTTTTCCTTCTTCTTTTGTTTTGCTTACTGATATTTGTGCTTTGTGCGTCTTGTGCTCAGGGCAAAAATGTGTTGCATTTTTTTAAGTACTCAGAAGCTGCTAAACCTGAAATGGAAATCCAACGATTCATCTGAAAGGCAGCGCTGTCACTATACCAGTATCTTAGTGCATCGAGGTAGCATTTATATGCTTGACTCTGCAAGCTGAGGAGTGCCTTCTTTGGTGTAACTGAACAAAAGCAAATGCCTGGTTACAAGCACAGATTCAATTTGAGGACCATCTGTGCATTTTAAAAGTCTCGGTTGAGGTCTCTAGAATCCAGTCATGTGGAATGACAAGAATGGCTCATGGTACATCAGTGTGCTGTGTGAGGACTAACATCACATACGCATCGTAGCCGTTTCCTCTGATGGCATTCATGCTGATCAGCATCTATTTCATGCCCTTGCCTTCAGGTCAAAGTAGGCAGAATGTCAGGTAGTTATTCTCTCCAGGTTATTGTGAATCCAGTGCAGCAAATCAGTGCTCTGCAGTGAAATAACAGGACCAGACATGATGTTGAAAAATAAAAATCAAGTTCATGCAACTAAAAGAAACGTTACAAACACTTCTGGGCACTTTGAGACACACCAAGAAGCTTATTGTTGAGATAAAAGTTCCAAACCAGGATTGCAGGTCAGTGCTGTTAGCACAGACTTGGCCTGGGGACTGACCTTTGCAGCAATTAAATTGGCTGTACCTATTTCAAAAGCTGATTGGGCTTGTGACACTCAAAGTTAGAAAAAGAGCTGAACTGTTGCAAGAAGGTGAGTAGACACTGTTGCCTGAATATAAATCAGCTCCTTTTCCATCTGGTTCAAAACCTTTGCCCTAGCAGATCCCTTTTCTAGCCTTGTTTTCCCAAGATGCAGCTCAGAGGCCAGAGTGTCTGCAGATTGCTGTTCAGTGTTGCACAGGTCATCCTGGGAGTGCCTGTAAAGTCTGAGTGGGAGATAATTGTGAATGATTATACAAATTCACTTAGAAGACAGAAGAGCATTCTGGAAGATAAGGTCTGCTGAAGGATAGATGTTAAGAGAGGGGCCAGAGGGTAGATGAAGTAGAGCAAGTATCAAGGCCAGAAGGCTCTGGGGGGCAATGTCAGTGCCCAAAGCAAAAATGAAGAAGCTGATAGAATCCAGCGAGGCGTCTGGCAAGCAGGGGCTAGAGTCACTCTGGTGGTGTCTGGGCCCGGTTCTGATGAATGATGGTGAGACCTAAGACAGCATGATGCTTTTCTAAATAGAATCTCTGTCCATGGAAGGCATTGTTTCTTTGCTCTGGTCCGTCTTTGTGAACATGGTTTATCTTCCTGGGAGTCAGACATACTATGTGAAGGAGCTTCAGATCTGCATGGCAAGTATTGCTCAAAACCACAGTGTCTCTTAGCTTAAACAGTTGCAAAGAGGGGATATAAAATATAAGAGTATCTAATGGGTCAATACTGCTGAGGAAGAAGGGTCACCAGCACGACAGAAGGGTGGAGCTGTGTGTAAATGCAGTGAGATAGATCCAAGCAAATTCAGCCTTAGGCTGGGTATCAGAGGCAGTGCCACAGCAGAGTCCTTTAATCAGGCACATGAATAACTTCTCCTACCCCAGCTTTGTGCAGCTCTTAAGTGAGAGTGTTGTTGCTGTTGGAAATGAAAACACTGTACTGCCCATTTTGTGGGTGGAAGCTGCTCTGTGCCTCCAGACCAGGAGCTATTTTAGAATTCTTGGTAATATCCAGACAGCTTCTGCAGCTGGAAATAGCATCAAGGTCTTTTGAGAAACAAATGTTTCATACTGTAGGAAATACACAGGCTCAGACTAAGGAGAACTGTAGACTGGATTCTGGGTCTTCTCAAATGACAGTCTACATCATGTATATAGGCAACACTACATTCCTTTTCATGTGTATGCTGCAGCACCGGGGTATGGACAGAACATTCCATGCCTGATTGTTCTGTTGGTTGGTTTTGTTTTTTCTTTACAGGCCTGTGCAAAGATTTTGCTTCCCTCTCTTGTCCCCGTGTGCCAGCCGCTCTTATGCAAGTGAAGTCGATCAGGTGAGTGTGGTTGTGGTTGCCAGGAATCAGTTCTGCTGAGCTGGGATTTTAAAATCCCTGATGCCTGGTAACCAAATTCTTCTTTCCAGTTTGCCAGAAAGACTCGGAGCTGGACCGCTCCAACATACTCCACATTCTTTCCTAGCATAGAGCTTCCATTGACGTAGCACGGTACATGCTGCTAGGGGTGGAAATAATCAGACTCGTGGGTTTTTTCTGTTTTTGGAACTCACTCAGCAGATGAAATCTTCCACCTTAGAGTGGAGGGAACTTACATGACAAATTCCTAATAAAGCACTCTTTCTGGAATATGGCTGTGTAGAGAGGTAAATAAATCGGTGTGTCCTCACCTCCTGATCTGGAGAGTGGCCCTCTTCCCTAACAGCCCTCTCCTTGAAGGTGCTAGCTTGCCAGGAGCAGTGCCAGGCAAAAGGAAGGGGGATGTTTTGCCCTCATGCCTGTCTTGTGGCACAGAACTCAGCACGGTAGCAGTGCTAGAGCATGCACATCTTGCTCCATAACCCTGGGGCAGAGTCTCAGCGGAATTCAGATATGGCCCTTGCAACACTGCTGGGCTTCCAGTGTCACCCTGATCAGTCCCAGTGTATGCTGGGGAAAGCCAAATTTCTAGTTTGTTAAAAGAGATGAGTTGGAATGAATTGCAAGTAATTATTACCTAATCCCACCCACGGCAGCACCTTGCTGCATGTGCACTTGTTACTGCTGGGATGTCTGATACACCATGCAGTTTTTAACATGTCACTCAACTGCTGCCTCTCTTCGCATTAGAAGAAGGGGTTTGGAGAAGGAAGGAGGTATACTTCTATTTAAATTTTAATTTGGATAAGTAAGAAGACCAAAACCAAAGAAACAGACTGATGACCAGCCGGTCTTAATTTCAAATATTAAACCCACTTGTTTCTGCTTAGGCTTTTAGAACCCAGCACAAGAGGGTTTATCTGCAAGGGAGAGAAAGATGAGTGAGCAGGTTAAGTTAGGTTAAGAGCAGTAAGGTTAACCCTTATCCTTTCTTCAGTCAAGCTCTCTTCCCCATACCCTACGGCTGCCTGACACAGAAGAGAGGACTCCTGCCAGCTTTGAACATAGAGGAACAGTTCCTACTGAAGGGAAAACATATCTTGGGAACTGTTTGGTGTATTTTCAGGTTTCAAGATGGACTGCCAGAAAATAGTGGTTTACTTGGTCTCTTGCCCTTGGGAGCCTGTTGCCAGAGGTGCCAGACTTCTCTTTGTGTTGGGAGGACAGTGATCCTGCCTCACTGGAGTGAACTCGGTATGAAACCCTCGTTTCTTGTCTTCAGGAGGCACTGGGTGGCAGTAGCTGGCAGCGAGTGTAGAGAACGTCCCTGGAACGGACTGCTCTTGGGCAAGGACATGGTTTTGTTCTGTGCACTGCAAATCACTGATTTCAAATACTCAATTCCAGTGTGTTTTGTTGTGTTTTGTTTTGCAGATCGGCAGCAGAGCTGTGCTTATAACAGGTTGTGACTCAGGGTTTGGATTTGCCTTGGCCAAGCACCTGCATGCCAAAGGCTTCGTTGTTTACGCTGGCTGCCTGCAAAAGGTAAGGAAAACAAAAACTGTATTCTTCACCTCTGGCACGTGCACAGACATGTAGCAAATCCAGTCTTCCCTCTCCACTCTGCACAGCTTTCTGCCAAGGACAGGGAGGGTGGTTTGTAGCCCAAAGGGAAAGACGCGGGTTCTTGAATTTCATAGAGCATAACCTGGTCTATACCAGCACTAGGACTGAATGGTATCTAGGGAGGTTCTTATTTGAATCACAACACTGGTCTGTTCCATATCTGATGGACTGGAACTCCAAATCTAATTTTATAGACTTATCTGTAAGTAGAGTTTGGGATCAGGTTGAACATGAATCTTTTGCCCTGCTCTCAGACTATACATATTTACACAGGATTTATTTTGATTAGTTGTGACATACACCAAGCCATCAGTGATTTTATAGCGTGTGGTATGAGCATATTTTTCTATATTAATGAGTACAGCCATGCCTCAGTGTGTATTGAGGGTCTCCTGAAATTGCTGTGAAGGTGATAGAGTTCCACTAGTGCAAAAGAGAGCAGAATCAGGCCATAGATGGCTTAGTGATGTAGACTTGATGCTCTTCAGGAGCACTCTGTATGGCAGTCAGAGATGCTTGGTCATGGAGAAGAGGAGAGAGCTTTAGCGTCTCTCTCCTTATCAAGCATTGCACTTTTTCACTGCATGGCCATTTTCCAACAGAAACGAGCTTACTCCTTGGGATATCCTGGGGTGGGTCAGTTATTTTGATCCTAATCTTTTAGCTCACTCATCACTATCAATGTATCTTGAATAGTTGTATTATTTAAAGAGAATTTGACAGATTTTTTTTATGTTATCAGTACTCTTTATGCTGTTAATTTTTCCATTATTACTAAGTTTTGCTTAAATGGTTAGTGTCTTTCTGCCACATTTTTTCAAAAGAAGTTTGTGTTTCGATTGCTCTGTCTGCTGTGGTGTCTCAGTTTGGATCAAGGGTTTGTTCGTTAACCTGGGCTCCCTCTACAGGCTTCACAGCAGAACAAGACGTTTCTCATAAACTGCTGCTTTTCGAAAGGTGTCAGAAGAGAGAGGGTAAATGAGTACTTTTTTGACAGAAGTTTCTACTCAGCTTTTGTAACTGAAGATCAACATTAGAGAATATAAAAACGTTGCAGATTTAAAAACCGCTGTATAGAATAATAGCCTGCCTCTATGTTGACAGGAACCAAAAATTTCAGAGCTGCAAAGTTACTTCTGGGTTTCACTTCCTCTGTTTGAGCTGCCAGAAAGACCTGATTTTCAGTGAGCATATCTTTAACTGTCACTAAAACCTCCCTTCCATTTTGGTGTCTTCAGTACTCATTCTACTGAATGCATGCTAGTGGAAAATCTTGGCCTCTGACAATTTTAGCATAAGCTGACATGCAGCAGCATGACAGAACTCTTTTAGGCTTTGATCAATATTTATTTCCTCACCAAAAATCAGCAAAAAGCTTTGCTGAATCACTGTGTAATTAGGTATTGCTCTTTAGCTGGACTCACATCCCATGTTCCAAAAGCTGTTTGACTATGGCAAGACTGGTAACAGCAGTTGTCATCAGAAAAACACTGTAAAATGCCAAAGCTTCTCAGTTAACAGGTTGTCCTCCTGTGTGTCTTTAGGCCGTATACTTTATATAGAACTGCTCTGTAGAACTAAAACAACCCCAGGAGGTTGAGCTGATTTCTCATTGTGGCCCAGGTTTCACTAGCAAAACCATAAGCAGAACTGGGATCAGAGTGTAATTATTGCTGGTGCTGACTTTAGGGACAGAAAAAGCCTGGTGTCTTTTTAGATGCTAGGTAGAATTAGAGGTAGAAATAAGTAGCTTGGGTGTATTTGACCTAGTCCTGACAGAGAGGGAGTGACTATGAAACTGCAGTGTTATTTGCATGGGACTGTTTTTTACAGCACACCTGCACATCAGAGGCATACTCTGGCTTGGGGAGCCGTCATGTCCTCAGGGTATGCTCTGTTCTTAGGAGCATCACGTCTTTATTGCAGATTCAAAGTGTGTGCAGTGCTGACTCTTCATCAGGAAGGGTTTCCTAGAGTGGCCAGATCCTGAGCACTTGACTGTATTTTTACTGAAGGAAACCTGAGAGAGATGTTTAGAGTCACAGCTGAGGGGATCCCAAGGATGGATCTGTGCTAACAGTGTGCTATTTCACACACACAGTTTCTTCCTAACCTTTTCACTGCCTAATGTATTAACGTGAGAGTTGTGTTGATGCTTCATTGCCAAAAGACAGTGGTAGATAGACTGGATCCGATGAATGATCATGCTGCGGCTGTCTTATTTTTTTCCTCTTTGGTTAATAGCTGGAGGAGCCAGCTGACCCAAGATGAAGAAGGTATTTTTCCATCAGTATTTGTTACCAGTGGACATATGTGATGTTTGTCACAGCTGTTGGGGGTGTGGTGGAACCCCTGTTTGCTTTGTTTTGTGTGCTCAGGCCTGTTGAGGCTTGCAGGAGGATGAGAAGGCAGAGATTATCTGAGCAAACCAGCATGTAGACCAGTTACTGTAGGGCTCAACAAGAGCTCAGAGCCACAGGGTGTTATGTACCTCTCAAAGACACAATGGTAACGATACAAGCTGAAGCCCATGGGCCCCAGAGGGCAACCACTGAAAGAGGAAGATGAGGCAGCAGTGTGCTTTTTCAGTATGCAAGAGCTAGGTCCTCTTGCCATGGGGACAGCAGACCCTGGGGCTGACAGCAGAGATGGGCTGGTCTCTTGATGCAGCATGAGAAGGTCTTGCCACTGCTGCGTATGGGTCTGAAGGTTGTGGGACAGGCTGTGTCCCGTGCCAGGAGAGCATGGCACAATCACAGAGTGCCTGACTAAAACACCACCCATCTGCCCTTTCTGAAGAGCCAAGGGGATGGTCCTGTGGGTCTGGGTTAATGCCCAGAGTCCAACTCTTGGCCAGGATCCCAGCCCCAAGGGTCCCTGTCCAAGCACCCAGCTGTGTGTGGGTGGGAGGGCAGGAGGGGTGTTGGCTTGCTGAGCCAATCCTGTAAGGGAGGAAGAGGAGGACACTGTGAAGGTCCCAGTAGAGCTTAGGAGGCCTCTGAGTCTGGTATGTTGCTGTGGCCTAGAGATTTTGTAGCACCCTGAAGACCTGGCATCAGGGAAAGAATCACCTTGGCCTTATTGTTGTTGTTCTTCCCTTTAGCCATACCTGCTGTTTCCAAGGCTCTTGCATGCTTGCATCTGCCGGTGCCCTGTTGGCATTCCCACGTGCGCCACTTGTGTGCTTCTCACTGCTTTGCCACACACACTGGCTTTGGCACCACAGTGCTTTTGAGTGAGCAGCAAACTTAGCACAAAACTCTATTTTTAGTCACCGTAAAAACAAACAGCACTAAGCTTGCATGGGACTTTCAGCTGCTCCGTTTTGTATGCAATGTGCTTCCGTGTGAAGAGAGTCCAGTAGATGCCTCCTCTGAAGGACAAACACTAACTGCTATTAACAGTCTGCGATGGAATAAGGACAGGTGGAAGAGCAGACAGAGGAGACGTCAGGTGCTTAAGTTACTGAGCTGTCTGTGAGCACAGTGGATAAGCCCAGGAATGAGAGGAGCCAGGAGAAGGTTTTTTGGAAGACAGGTGGCACAGGGATAGGGGGGTATATGGCCATGCTTGTGTGGTATCTAAAGCGTGGTGTCTGAAGGGAGCTCTCAGTTGGGGGGGGGGGCAAATGGGCAGCCTGGGTTCAGACTGCAGAGATGAGCACTGTCTCATTGACAGCTGACTGCTGGCAGCCTCTGACAGGGAGTGTCTGTGACTCGAGGTGTTTAGAATGACCTAATGTCATTCAGCAGTCAGGAGCCAGCCCTGCCATGAAGAGCTGAGCTATCTATCCAGAAAAGCCTCATCTATTACACCTGCCTTATAAAAGCTCAGGAGTGAAGATCACTCCAGTGCTCGCCTGCTGATGCCTGTGAGTGGGGCTACCTGGAGGGTTGAGTGGTGGGGGAAGAAGAGCTGAGCAGCCATGACATGATCCTGTGGGACACAGTCCATGTCCAGGCTGTTAATGAGGGGTAAAAAAAACTTCTAGTGAGGGATGATATTGAGGGGAGTTTCTTACAGTAAAGGCAGGGGTGTTTCCAAAAAGTGATTATTTACAGAGGAAGACCTCACTATCCTCTACAAAAATACCCTGGAGTGTCCAGCACAGTCCAGTAGCTTATAACCATGGGAATGATTTAGGAGTAGTCCCAAACTCCTATTAATATCCCATGTCTTTGTCCTGGAAGCACCACAGCCAGGCTTCACCACTGTGAAGGAGCTAGCTCTGGGCATGGCAGCCTTGTTGCTATGAGTGTCTGGCCCGTGCAGAAGGTATCTGTCATACATAGCTGGGCTGAGTGGATATGTGTATACTGGGGGAGTCTATTGGTCTGAGCTGAGAAAAAAGGAGTGGAGATGGGAAATGGGAGTGAGACAAAACTCATGGGGGGAGGCAGAGAAGAGAGCAAGAAACTGGGAAAGACACTGGGGGGAATTGTTAGCAGGCAAGGTGGCCAGGTGCTTGATGATCAGACCCCGTAGGAGTCCGTTGGAGACAGTAGGTAGGTGTCTGGGCAGTGAGAGCTGTGTGTGTAGATCAGCTGGAGGGAGAGAGCAGTAGGTAGGCAGTCCTTCTCCTAGGACTGTTGCTCCCAGAGCTGGCAACGTGAGTGAGAAGCATGTGCAATGTACATGCACAGCCACTCACTGGCTATTCTACCCCATACCCCAGCCAAGCTGCCTGCTGTGCCCCATATGTGAGCCAGAGTGTGGACAGCACCACATTCCCACCACTGTGGCAGCGGGGCATAGCCTGATCTCAGGAGCTTGTACTGAGCAGGAGTTGCCTTGCTGGGGCAGATCCAGCTCTGGCTGCTTTCTTGGTGGTTGAAGCAGTTTGTACCCGCTGACTCGGTGGCAGGGCTCATGGTCAGATGGAAATGCTTGAGGAATGATGTTCTGCAGGAGCAGTCTTGTCTGTTCCCCTTCCTTTTAGAGCTGCAGGACTGTCCTGATTATTCTGTGACTGCCCTGTGCACTCTCTTTTGCTTGATTTGATGCTATGCATTTGATATTCTACACAAGCTCTTTGTCCAGATGCAAACCAGCACTTCCTTCCCCTCTAGGACAAGGGAGAGGGTGGCTCCAAGGATCTGGACAACATGAACAGTGATCGAATGAGAACTGTCCAGCTCAACGTCTGTGACAGCAAAGAAGTGGACCGAGCAGTGGAGCATGTGAACAGCAGCCTGGAGGACCCAGAGAAAGGTAGGTGCTTGCAATGGGCTCTAAGGTCCCATAGGTGGCAGGAGCTCCCTCAGCTGGGCTCTGAGCATTTTCAGGCATAGTTCAAAAGCTGGGCACATGATTGAAGGGCACAAAGCTTTGGGGAGCAGGAGTGCAGGACAAATGACCTGTTTAAATGTTGTGCCATGTCAGAAAGCAGCTTCCCACTTAAGACAACATCTACAAAGAGAACTGTTTTTTTCTCCAGTAGCTCCTATAGGGACTTTAGCAGAATCAGGGTGGTGTTCAGGGCCCTGGGATTGGTGCTTTACCCCTATGACTTGAAGTTTATTGTACTTGCTTTACATTGTAAAATCTGACCAGTGCCCAAAGGTTGGAGGTTAGCAATGGAAATGTCTCCCCCAGACTTCCAAAGGCAAAGGAAATGGAGATGTTTTCTGAAGGATTTCCCATTAAACCAGCTGAGGATCATTAATGCTGTTGCAGTATTACCATGTATTACACATTTCAGAGTTCAGGTGGTAGCTGCAACTGACTTTCTTAGCCTACCTACCTCATTCTGCTGAGGTGATGACAGCAAATTCTGCTCTACTACTGTGAAAATCCCACTTGCTCATGCGTTCCTGGAACCTTTCCACCCTTTGGAGAACTACATTTTTCCCTTGAAGAACATCCACACTTCAACCCATGTCTGTTTCCTGTGCAATTAGAATATTGTATGAAGTAAGTTCATTTTATTCCAAATTCCTTTTAAATCTGTCTTTCATCACCAAATGAGTTGGTAGCTTTGGTTGTTGCCATCTTGGTTGCAGCAGAGTAAGAGAGATGCTGTGGCATGTGTGCCCACCCATGTCCACCCATGCCCACATCCCTCTTCCCAGCATTGCAGACATTCTAGTTCTTATGGTGACACAAGGGATTTTACTTTGACAGACTTACTCCTTTGTTTCTTACAAGGTCTTTCCTCTTATTACTATTTGCATTTAGAGACTGTATTTTGCTTCTTTTAAGGGATCACAACAGATTAAAAGAGAAAGGCAAGAACAGCTTAGACAAGGCTGAAGTTCTCTGCTGGCTCAGAACTTCCCAGGATCCAGCCTTATTCACAGCACTTTGTGGCTGTAGTGTTGGGCAGTACAGTCACATTCTGGTTGTGGTTATATTTCCTCAGAAGACCGAGGTTCGCTCTGGGCTCTCTTCTGTCTGGTTTTCATCGTTACAGTCTTAATGAAAAGCTCTGTTGTGTGGTTCCATAATCTATTAGCAAGGCCTTTTCCAAGGTGCCCTCGGTATTGTCCCAGAGGGAAAGCTTTCTGCTTGATTTTGTCTTCCAGGGCTCTGGGGGCTGGTTAACAATGCTGGGATCTCCACATTTGGGGAAGTAGAGTTCACAAGCATGGACACCTACATGGAGGTAGCTGAAGTGAATCTGTGGGGGACTGTGCGAACCACCAAGGCTTTCCTCCCGCTCATCCGAAGGTCAAAGGGTGAGTGATCTCCTCGGACTGGCACTCCCTGGAGCAGGTCCCCTGTCCTGCCCTGGGTCTCGCTGTGTTAGAGGCCAAAAGGTCTATTAAGCTTCTCTTTGCACCGCTGGCCACATACATACCTTTAGAGACAGAATGTGACCCACAGCATATACACAAGTGACATTTCCTAACCCCTCTGAGTCACACAGCAAGGCAGCAGCCCTGAAAACCAGCAATCATTTCTCTTTCCCATCTGTGCTGCCTTCTCCTGCAACATCCCACATAAGATCTAATCCATCATACTTTCTTTGACCTGTTCAGAGGCTGTAGGTCACCATAAATTCCAGTGCCTTGAGCAGTCATTCCCTCTATACAGAAACCAGCTGTGCCAGTGCAGGCAGGGTGGGCAGGAGCAGTGCACTGTGATGTGCCTCTTGCAGGGAAGTTGTCAGCTGTGTGCTGCGTTACTTTGAGAGCTGTAATGTATGAGAGGTGGAGTTTGTACAGGAAAGAAGCACAGACCTGGAGCTCTCATGGTCTTGGCATAAAGGAGCAAAAGCTTTTCTGTACTGGGACCAACTACCTGACTAAATGAGAATATTTTTTACTCTTGAGGCATCCACAGACATTAACAATGTGCATTTCGCAGTCGTGTGCTGCAGACCTGGGCTGTATGTGGCCCAGGGAGCATTTCTTACACCATGGAAGGGCACCCACTTCTGTGGTCAAAACTTTTCTTTCTAACCCAAGTCAGCAGTGAGCATTGATAGCAAGCACAGAGAACTGCAACCTTTGATTAGACAGCAACATCCACAATCTCCTACCAGCAGTCTCTCCATCCCAAATAGATGGCTTCTGGAGAGGAAAAGGGCCCCAGCTCTGTGCCGGGAGCCACAATCCAGCCATCACACAGAAAAGGGTGCAGTGAACTTAAACTGCTCTGCCCGTTTGAGGTGCAGGAGCAATGCATGCCCTTTGAAGAGGCAGAGCTGTAAGGCACCATTGGGCTTCTAGATTTTGTGCCTTTGCCCTGCAAATAAAGAAGCTCAGCCTTAGTGCCAGAGGCTTTCTCTGCTGCAGCTTCCTGTTGTTTGCACTCAGCCCTGATTGCTGCTGAGCAATCCTCTTTCTCACCATGCAGGTTCTGTCCAGCCTCTTCTGTGTTCCCTGTAGCACTGAGCTTTGCCTTGTCACTGTGTGCTGTGCCCTCAGGTATGACAGCCAAGGAACACAAGCAATAGGCTTGTTCTCCTGCCTGAAGGCCATTGCACAGGACAGCAATGCTCAGAGAGAGCCACCAGCAGGTCTGCCAGGCGGCATTTAGGGATGTAGGTTCAGGAATCTGCTGGGTTGTACGTGTTGGGCATCTGCTCTGATGAGGTACCACAGCTCAGCTGTGCTTTGCCTGGCCTCTGCCTAGGTCGTGTGGTGAACATCAGCAGCATGATGGGTCGGATGGGCAGTCCTGCCCGGTCACCATACTGCATCACCAAGTTTGGTGTGGAAGCCTTCTCCGACTGCCTGCGGTACGAAATGCAGCCCCAGGGGGTGATGGTCAGCATCGTGGAGCCTGGAAACTTCATAGCTGCCACCAACCTGTACAGCCCCGAGCGAATCAAAGCTATAGCCGACAAAATGTGGGACGAGCTCCCTGAGATAGTGCGCAAAGACTACGGCAGGAAGTACTTCGATGAGCAGGTCAGCAAGATGGAGACGTACTGCAACAGCGGCTCGACAGACACCTCGCCCGTCATCGAGAGCGTCGCCCACGCGCTCACCTCCACCACCCCCTACACGCGCTACCACCCCATGGATTACTACTGGTGGCTGCGCATGCAGATCATGACCCACATGCCTGCTGCCATTTCAGATCGACTCTATGTCTATTGAGGCCTCACACTCCTAGGCTACCCAGGTGGGAAATTTGTTTTAAAGAGAGCTTTGTACACACTTCCCATTAGTCATTTTTAAATTTCTCTAACCTCATTTCAGAGTACTGTATTTTAGTTCTAAAGGGTTCATTTAAACATCTGACATAACCTGAAGGGCAGTAATTTGCAAGGGATGCTTCATAGGCAGGAATACGTTATGTTTGTGCAGGGACATTGATTCTTTGCTATTTATTTCATGCAATCATTTTTTTTTTTCCCCAGCCTCAAGTATCAACTTAAAATCATTATTTAAACTGCTCTTGCTCTAAAGTGTTTTCAGAATAATTTCTGCTGATGGCTGAACACATTCTTCACAATTCCTGCCTAGGAAGCAGCCTTCACACCGTAAAGCAGAGGCCCTCCATGTAACGGCAAACAGCTGCCTCCCCATGACAAAGAGTGTCCAACAGACTTTTCCAGGCCTGGTCACAGTAGCCCAGAGCAGAGCAGAAACTTCTTTAATTTGGGCATCAGAACTCAAAATGCTTGAGGTGTTGAAACTGAGCAACTGACCCTCTCCCTTTCTCTTAAAATTATATTGATGAAACCTTAGAGAAAAGGAAGCAGTCCTCTTTTCCTGCATGCTTTCTTGCAGTTCGACAATCCAGGGACTCAGTCCTGCAGATCTTTCCCACAGAAGTTTCTTACTCTTATGAGCATTCCCATGAGTGCGAGCAGCTTTACGCACAGGACTTCAGGCATCAGGATTGGCCTGTAGTGACATTTGTCTTCTCTTCAACAGTAATTGAACATGAACTCCAGACTTAGTTTGGAGGAGGGTTTCACTCCAGCCCCTATAATTTGTGAGGATCACCGCTGAGCAGAGGGAAGCAGAGAGGGTTATAGTCACATCAGTGAACGCCGTTCTTACCAGGGACCTCAGAGTCCCACCCAAGTATTGGTACAGCACCCTGCACAGAGGGGCCTTACCCCTGGCTGGGGCCTCCAGGCACTATTGCAGTGCGGGTGTTGGTAACAATAGTAACTTTCATTGAAGGAGTCACTGAGCTGAAATACATCTAACATGATATAAATCTAACAGAATGTCCATAACAATAAAGTTAACATTAAGAACAGTTTAATTTCCATGGTGGTTGTTTACATGCCTCAGAAACGTTTGTTTTGTACTGTAAGAAAAGAAAAAAAAAAGATAAAAAATCCTTTCATGGGAAAATTTGGAAATAATTACTTTTTTAAGCTTGAAAGGCAAGAAACAAACAAGTTTGTTATCATCACATTGTTATCAAAGTTAAAGAGAAGGGATCTCACGTGCTGTAGTAACGTACCGTGATATGATCAAACTCTTTTGGCTTAATAAATGTATACATGAATGGTAACAAAATTTGGAGGCTCCCACTCTTTATTTTTTAATACTTCAGGTGAAGAGCTCATATTTGTTAGTGGTGTTTTCTTTAGTTTGGTGAGGTTCATGCCCGTTATGCATACACGCTGCGTTCAGAGGCTGATTTGCAGTCTGAGTCTTGCATGTCTGTGTTGGGTAGTGCAAGACTTGTACAGGAGTAGCAGATGTGTCCGGCATCTCGTGACAGGTCTGCCTAACTCCTGGACTCTGTGTATTCACAGCTCTTAAATCTACATCCGTACTGGACTCCCACAGATTACAAAGGATTATTATGGATTATTCCCAGGGAGCAGGAAGAGACTGGGCTCTGAAGAGGGGAGGGAGGTGGCAGTGATTCAGCAGGGCAAGCACACGGCAGGTCACTGACAGACTCAAAATAAAATCCTGAGAGACTTGCTGGCTTCGTGATCTTCTCCAGAGTCCTAGCAGTGGTGCATCCTGTGGTGCAGGGAGGAGTATCGCCTCATATTCCAATAAGTGGACTTGTCTCTGGGACAAAATGTGAGCGTGAACCACAAGAGACCCAGCAGGCACAGGGACTAACTTGTGACACAGAGCAGAACACCTGGATAACAATGTTTGCTGCAGATGAGACAGCAGGAAGAGAAAAGCCTTTACAAGTCAAGTTCTTGTAGCTTAAAAATTTAGCCCTGAGATGCTAAGTAACACAAAAAAAATCATGTAATTCTGCTTGGGATACAAGGTTCCAATTTTACATGTACTGCTGGGTTTTGCATACTCATTGGGGTGAGATATGGGAAAGACTGAGCGTGCAGCTGAGTTATCTCAGTGTAGCTCAGAGACCCCTGGGAGCAAATGAGGCAGATATTTAACTGCCACATTCGTTCCCAGCCAGAAAGATAGAGCCAAACGGTGATGCCTGTGCTCACGTCTGCACGGCATCTCTTCTGGAGGCTTCTCAGCCCTTTCATGTGAGGTGCCCATGGGGAGCTCTGGAGCTGTGCCACGGCTCCAGGGCTGGAGAAGATGTGGCAGTACCACTGCTCTGCAGCATGATTCACAGGGGACTGTGTGTGGCCACATACGATGAGGAGGCAATGGCCAGGATGCTCCTGTGCACCACAGCTGTTCCTAGGTTTTTGTGTGAGTTTTCCTGATGCTGGAGGAATTCAGTAGCTAATTTGTGGTCAGGAGGTCAGCGAGCTGGTTAGTTTTCCTGCTGGCACCTTGGCAGTCTCACAGGTACAGGGTTTGCCCTGAGAAGTGCATTAAAAGCTAATCCCCCCCTGGTTTTGCATGACTGTCCTTGCAACTCGGTGCATTCCAGGTCCTGTCTGCACGGTGCCAACGCAGATCCTGGAGTAGCTTCAGCTCATCAAGTTTATTTGAAAAATAAAAACAAAAGCATAGCAAAAGAGGACTTTTCTGGGCACCTGGTCCTCTGCACTCCCAGAGCTGCCCTCGGTGGGAGCTTCTGCCCTCTCGGGAGGAGCTGGGGAGCTTGGAGAGGTCAGTTTGCAGGGCTGCCCACCCCTGAGTTCTAGTCTTGACCCAGCTGCATGGAGAGAGGGCTCTCTTTTCCCAAATTTCTTGCCAGGCAATGACATGACAGATCTCACCATGCAGCATTCCCTGAGCAACCTGGAGTTAAAAGTAACTTTCCTTGGTGTGGTGGGAGGCAGCAGAGATGGGGTACTTTTAACTACAGCTGTTACATCTTGTTCTGATCCTTAATGAGGAAATCATGAAGTCCTACCCACGTCAGAACTTTCTGCTCCTAGTGATGAGGGTGGTGAATGCTGCTTTTGAGTGACCCTTTATTTCCACATTATTTGGATGAAGTGCAGGGATTTCCCAGTTAAACAGAAAATTGTCTGACAGCCAGAGGTCGCACAGCTTCGGGAGAGCTGGTCCCAGGCTGGTGCCTCAGCTCCTGTGTCCCAGCAGAAGTCTGGCCCAGGCTGGCCCCTGGGTGAGTCTGGCTGAGACATGGTCCTGGGCTGGCAGTTCGGAAACAGGACTGCTGTGGCTACAGAGAAGGGGAAGGGGCTGCTGCTGTTCAGGTGGTGCTAAAACAGCTGAGCGCAGCGTGCCTGCCCCAACTGAATGAAATATAAGAATTAAATAGATACTGAATTAAATACACGAGTGGCTCAGTGCTCAGCCACAAAGTCAAACCTCTGTCTGTACTGAGCTTGGACTGAAGCCAAGGGGCCTTGCTCTGAACTGCATGTGCAGCTGCTGGCACTTTGGGGACTATGGCTTTGAAAAGAAAGTAACTTCCCAGCAAACAAGCAGGGAACTATATGCATAACTCACAGAAGATCTGATGCCACCTCCCTGGGGAGATGCTGCTCAGAGACACAGCACCAGTTTCTCTTTCCTCTTTCCCAACAGCGGCACAGGGCTTGCCATGCAGCTTTGGGGTGATGGAGGCTTAAACTGGTGCTTCCCCGTGCGAGATGAAGCACCAGCCTGGCACCACCAAAGCAGCGAGCAGTGAGTTCTTCCTCACCATGTGTGAGTGTGAGAAGGAGGAGATGCCAAGGCTGGGAGCAGGGCAGCAGCTCAGCAGCCTGTGCACCCGTCACACGGATGGCAGGTAGCACTGGCTGTGCCACCCCCTGCTTGTCACCGCCCATCACCTGGGCATCACAACCCTCATGGGCTGGTGGGTCAAAGGGATGCTGTGAACGTGCCCTAATTTTGTCAGCCAGCTGGGCAGTGCAGGTTGCGGTAGCTGGACAGACTGACTGCCTGGAGCAGCCTCACCATCACCCCTGGCCAGCAGAGCAGTGAGGGTGGCGATGGCAAACGTGGGGTTCCCAGCTTGGCCAGTGTTGCTGGGGACTTCCACCCATGACCATGCAGAGAGGGACATGCAGGGGCACAGATGCCATTCTGCAGCTCCCCTGCAACTGGTGAGGGGCAGGCAGAGGTAGTCGTCTACCACCTTCTACCTTCCAAAGGGCCCCAGGACTTCAGGACTCCCTGGAAAACTGCAGATCAGGCTGCTCTGCTCCCGTAGCCAGAAGGCAGCTCAGTGCGCTCTGCGGGAAGCGGAGGGGCGAGGAGGCTGGCTAAGATGTAGGTTGCTATCTTAAAATAATTTTTGCTAACACAGTGTTTTGTTTGCTACTGAGTGTGGTTATTCGAAGGTGCCTTTTTATGAGCATCTGTCCCTGATCACAAATTCGTCTCCCTGTTTTTCTGGGGCTTTACCACCATAACAAACTGGAAGAGGGACTGGACCTGGCTGCAGGTTCCCCCAGCCATCGTCTCCCCTCCCTTCCCTCGCACAGGGTTGTGTAACTATTTGTGTGATGTGGAACAGCTTTAGCAGAAAAGCTTGGGAGATCTGTCCTCACCCCTCACATGAGTCCTGGGGTAACAGAGCTCTCCTGATATGGGGGTGCTCTGCTTTCACAGCCATGGGGCAAGCAGGTTGTCCCATTCACAAACCATTTGGGATCAGACTGTGGTGCTGAGGAATGGTGCCCTGGGAACCACAGCCTCACTGCAGCCACCCCAGCCTTGTGCAGCCCTGGGCTGGGACTTTGACCTGTCCTCCCTTTGCATTTCTGACAAGCTTCAACATGCTGGTCCCGGGGGCATTTGCTCCCCTCACTACTTACCTCTCCACCACATATGGAGCTAGGCACTGACAAGGGATCGTACCTTTCCTGAGGGAAAAGAGGACATAGACGACCATAATTCCCCTCCTGGGCTTGCACCGGTATTCATCCTTGAGCTCACCCTTTATTTTCCAGTCAGAATGCAAGTTGGGAGGTAACAGGAGCCTGCTCTCCCCCTCCCTGAACACCCATACACCAAACCCCCAAAAAGCTCCTTGCTGGAGCCAGGGGTGAAAGTGTAGATGTTCCCATCATCATTTCTCCCTCCGCTGTGAATGTCAGAGCAGCAGTGTAAAAATGTGGTAATATCCAGAGCGCTTTGCCTGGAGCAGAATGGACCATAAATCTTGCAAGATAACATGTTGCCACAAAGACTTCCAGACAGTTTTTCAGGCCTTAGGAGTCTGAATGCGGCTGGTGCATCTGAACCAGCCCACCCAGGGCTGGGCATTGCTAGTGCAGAAAGCAGCAGGTTTCTGTTGTACCCATGAACAGAGGGTATTTGCTGCTACTCCTGTCATAACATCTTGGAGTTACTGTGGGAAACCTTACCAGGATCCAGTCTACAACACGGTGAAATTGGGGTATTTGTTGTCATGAGACTGAAAGTATAACTGGTCTGAAGGAG